TACAATCAACCATTTAATCAAAAACCAATTAATCAACATCAACATCAAGTCCACCAACTTCTCATTTCCAACATCCACCTTCCCAATCCCTATCTCAATCCTCGTCCCAATCCTCAACTCCCTACTCCCTACTCCCTACTCCATCCTCCCTACTCCATCTCAATCCCCTCCTCCCTTACCCCCCCTCATCCCCATCACATAACATAATATCCCTTCAAAACTTACTCACTTCCTCACTTCACTTACTCCCTTACTCACTTCACTTCCTCCCTTACTCACTTACTTCCTCACTCACTTCCTAACTTACGCAATATCCAAGCATTTGCCTTTGCATTTACATCCAAAGCCGAATTATATTGTATATAATAATCTCATCATATCATATCGTATCAAAATCCCCACAATATACAGTACACTCAGTATATACACTCGAGTATATCCACTCGAGTATATACGAGCGGGGAGGGGTTAGACCAGAAACACCCACTCGAGTACTTTCAGAATCAGAATCAGAAGAACAAGAAGAACAAAAAGAACAAGAACAAGTCAACGAAGAAGAATCAAAGAACAAGAAGAAGAAGAACAAGTATTCAATTGGAGATATGAATGAGGAGAAATTGTGTTCATGTTCATGTTCAGGTTGATGTTGATGTTGATGTTGATGTTGATGATATTTTATTTTACTAGCTATTGGCTAGTGATTTGAAATGTCAATATCTATTTAACTTTATGAGTCTGAGTAATGAACGGATGAATGGATGAATGGATGCAATATACTAGCTGAGTAGAGGTAGATTTTCACTCTTCTATTTTCTTCTCGTGTGCTTCTTCGTTGACTTGTTCTTCCTTAACTTGCACCGCGATATGTTCTTCCTTGACTTGTTCCTCCTCGACATGTTCTTCCTTAAACTCAACCATTTCCTCATCTCCACCTTTCACTTCTTCATCCTTCTCCCCATCCTTCCTCCCTTCCCCACCCCCATCAACTCTACTAAGAACCGCAACTCCCTCCACATGACCCGTCTGAGGAAAGAAATCAAAACCCCTCAAACTCTCAATCACATACCTGGTCCCATTCTCACTCCCCTTAACTAGAACCCCCACATCCCTCGCTTGAGTATGTACATTACAACTAACATACACGACTCTCCTAGGACCAAATTTCAACAACTGACTTAAGAAACTCTCATCACATCCTTTTCTTGGAGGATCAATAACCACCACCGTTTCATCTTTAGGATATGTGACGGATTGGAAAAGTGTCGGTGCATCGGCTGCCATGAAACTACAGCGTGAGGCATCGAGTTTGTTTAATTCGGCATTTCGACGTGCGGATATGATGGAGGCGTCCGAGATATCGATTCCGGTGGAGGATTTGAAAAGAGATGAGAGGGTGATGGTGAAGAGTCCGGATCCGGAGTAAGCATCGATTAAGTATTGTATCTCGGGGAGGTCTGGGGAAAAGGATCCTGGGGGTGGTAAAATATGGTCTCGAATGTATTGTGTGAAAATGGGAAGAATAGAATTGTTGTTTTGGAAGAATGACCCTGCAATGCTCGTGAAAAGAAATTGATCAATATATTCTGTTGATTCGCCTTTCATATCCGTGATGCAGGTTTTTACATCGGTGTGTTCGGAAGTTGCGACTTTAATGGTGTTCGGCGGTATTTCCATATCTTGATATTCCGGGTCATTTTTGTAGATTCTCTTCGTGCTCTCTCGCAACAAAATTGTGGCTCCTCTTTTGTATTTGTGAAGTTCATCTGCAACTCTTGTTCTCTCGAGCTTCATTCCCATCCTTACTGTATCTGTTCCTATTGGGCAATCCTCAATATCCAATGTCTGCCTTTTCCCTTTCTGCATGAAACCAATTTCTGGAACGTTTTCAAAGGCAGCTTTGGTATCATTCCTTCTATTCGATCTACTCCTGTAACCTGGAGGTCCGTCAAAATGCGGTGTAAGTTTTGTGCGATATCCATATTGTAATGGACTTCCAATGGTATCTTGAATGGCGGGTATGAGTTCGGAGGGAAGATGTGAGAAGTTCTTGTATGCCTTTTCAACAATCGATTTCTTATGTTGTAATTGCGTCGAATAATCCAACATTTGAAATTGACACCCTGAACATTTGCTAAAGTATTTGCAGTTCACGCGGCTCTCGTCTCGAAGAGGGGATGGTTCAACCACAGAAACAAAGTCTGCCAAAGAGTAATTTTCCCGTGAAAAATGTGTGATGACCTTTGCCCTTACAATATCCCCAGGTACACTGAATGGTACAACGTATATTCGGTTTGTAGGTGGGTGTAGCGCAAGTCCGTCTCCAGTAGATGATATTTCAACAACCTTCACCTCGATTTCTGAGAATCGCTCCGGTAATGGCACTTCTGATGTAGCATCTGCCACAACAAGTGCTCCACCTTCAGCAGACGTTGGTTTCTGTTGTTCTGCTCCAATTTCGATATTCGCAGAATCGGTGTCTCCATTTTCGATTGGAGCTTGAGAAGCATTGGAGATCTTTTGCGCCGCAAATAATGCTCGCACATCTGCTATCAAAACCTCCTCAGATGACCCATCCTTCGCCGGCTTTTCCCTTTGAACCTTTTGTCTCTTAGGACCTCGACCGTTTGAGAATTGCTTTCTTTTGAGATCCGGTCCTTGATCCGTTGAAGGAGTCATTGTGAAGAGATTATAAGATCGAATTGGTGTAAGCTTTTGTAGTAAAGGATTCGGAATGAAAGCTCTTAGAAAACTTCTAGAACACTTCAGCATCAAGAGAAGTTTCAATCCAATAGTCGAAGGTGAACTGGCTGGTAAATTGGCTCACAAAAAGAATTGAATTGCGACAATATTACAATTCAAATTTTTGGATCCTCGAGCTTCGAACTTTTTTTCCAAGGCTTGGGGTCTAGCGTCACTGTACTGGAAGCTTTAGCGTTCACATGAAATTTATACTTCTCCACCAAATCATGGAAATATATATGGAGATTTACATTGTTGACCAATTGTCGAATCTGAATTATAAATTATATAAAAGAATCAAAACCCTCTTCTATTTATGTTGATCAATCGTCAAATCCGAATTATAATGATAAACAACAACTTATGGAATTATATATAAGGATAATATCAAATTGTCGACCAATTATCGAACCTGAATTATAAATTATATGGAAGAACCCAAATTTCTTCAATTACTCATGGTCTTATGGTGTTCTGATCGAGTACACCAAAGTCTTCTCCTCCTATACCCACAGCAACAACAACACAAACGCTCACTGGGACTCCGACTCTCTTCTCCTCGCCATAGCCAGTATACTATCCAGTCCAATCTGATATGTATAGCCAATTCCAGGTAGGTAGCTTCTGGTCGAACACCCGTTCCATCATTCATCCACTCATTCTTTGATTCTCTCCTTTACCAAATCTTTCAAGCTTCACCCCGAATCTTTCCCATCTTTCTGCCAAATCTTCTTCATTGCACCGGAAACCGAAAACCCGCCGAATAACCAATCATCTGAATGTCTTCCGCATCTATACATCTTCCAGTCAGTACATGGCCATGTATGTGGAAGTGATCACCGAAGAAATATGTATGGGCTGGGTGGGCTGTTGGAACAGTACTCCGAGAGTAATGATATCAGATGCTCAAACTCAAAATACTCACTCAGTATAAACATTCGCATGTTCATTATTAGAATGTCTCCTCTTGCCACTATCTTTCTTTTCCCCCTTCCCCCTATTCCTCCCCTCGTCAAACCTGGCCCTCTTATCCACCATCCCCGCAGACTTTGGTCCACTCTTAATGACCTCTCCTTCTGTTTTCCGTCTCATCAACATCGAAGGTGTGGGCGATCTCTCTCTTCGTATCAATTCGGGAGTGGATTGTGTTTCTTGCATCTCGATTTCTTTTCCTTTCCCTTTATCCGCGAATTGATCCTCGTCGCTTGTCCTCGAAGTCTGAGTAGTGATGGAGTTTAACCTCTCATAATCACTCTTCAGTGCCATTTCCGACTCGGGTGATGAAGTCGATGGATTCATGTTCACCAATTGTCAATGAAGAAAGGGATATAGACACAGGTGTGGTTGGGTTTCTCAATTCGCTTTAGCGTTCTCTTTGCCAAAGGATGGCTCAATTCTCGATTCAAATTCTCGATTGGTGTTGTGTTCACTCAGGTCCCACCTCAAATCCAATAAAATCTTCAAAATCAATGTCAGAACTCTTTTTGAATCCCAAATAATCTTGTTGTTTACGTGTTCCTAAAGTTTTGACACGTTTGTTCAAGTGACAGATGAAATATATTGATCACATTCCTCACATTCTTCGCGGGGAAGAGAGATACTTTAACCACTTTAACATTATCAAATGAGGGGTCTGGGGTCTTGTGCCATGGTTATTATCTACTCGGCGAACGAAGCAGCCTCAAATTGGCAAACCCAAGTTCGTAACTTTGACCTATAAGGCTGACCCGATGTGCATATTTAATTTTTATAGTTACATTTGATTGGTTAATTTATCCGGTATCCGGCTTTGGTCTTCATCCCGTGCCTAATGAATGGCCCGATGAAGTATGACTGTGACGTATGCTATTCCTTCGTTATTAATTCAGGACTTTCTATGGAATTTGTTAGGAATGAGTGGATTTCTCTTACTCTAATGAATGTAGCTTCAAGAGTTGTATGGACTTATTGTCGTAACAGGCATCTTGAGGCATTTGATTGTTACAAACAGGACTTTCTCGCTTCAATTCCCTCATGGTCCCTTTGCAATCTTGTCTTGTCCTGTCATGACTCACGAAATAGCTTGCGAGTGCAAATTCATAGCAATCAAATACAAAATGAATGAATGAATGGGATGGATACTGTACTGTATAAGGAAGAGACAAAACACAAGTACGACTTTACTCGGGTCATTAGAGGGATAGGTTAAACGACGATATACATACGAGTACTAAGTACATATACTTTGGGCATATAATCTTCGCCAAGGGTACCTACATCTCAACCGACTTCATGGGTTTGATTGAGAGGTACCGCCATTGTCTGTCCATCGAGTTCTGCGGTTTGAAAATTACATCTATCTACTGTAAAGAGTAGGGAATTTCTTTTGGCTGTTATAGCTACAGCTACAGCTACTGAGTATAATGTACATATATATGGTTAAATACACGCACACGAGTACTTTATACATAGGGATGCCAATTCCCTTCTAGTATCTGTTGTACAATACAATACTCTCGCTCCTTGAATGCCATCAGTCGGCATGGTAGATTATCTATAAACTACCTATTAACTATATCTTCCCTTCCAATCCAAACTTTAAGAAATGGGATATCATGAATGTCGAATAACTTTTGCAATGATACAAAATTAGTAGGTATACTATACCATCCTCTACTTACTGTGCAGGAAATGCAATCAGATAGATAGATGGATAGATAGAAAACTCCTGTGTGTATATGAACATAAATCGCAAAAACAATTTTCCTATTTTAGTTCCCAAGCCCAATCCCAATCCCAATCCCATCCTCACACCATGAAGAAATTTGACGTAACTGTACAGATTATTGGAGTGGATTTGTAAGATATCCCACTCCAACCTCAACCCCAATCCCAATCCCCCAATGATACTGAGTTAAACGTGTAATCTGAATTTCCTTCCTTACTAACACCCCAAGCCCATATCCGCATCAATATCATATCATCAATCATAAAACAACTTACACAAACCCCTCCCAAGCTACCCCAACCACCTTTCCCTTCCCATCAAAAACCACCCCCTCCTTCTTCAATAACCCCCTCTTCTTCCCATCATTCGCACCCGCCTCTCCATTTCTTCCCCACTCACCTTCAAAACCCCCTAATCCTCCTCCCGTAGCCAGAACCCGATGACAAGGCACCTGTGGCGCATACGGATTATTTCGCAATGCGTTTCCGACGGCTCGGGGAGAGGAATGGAGGTGCTTGGATAGAAAAGCGTAGGTTGTGTAGTGGCCGGGAGGCACTTGACAGAGGGCAGTGAGGACGCGTTTGCGAAAGGGGGTTAGTGTGGGTGTGGAGGAGATTTTTTGGAGCCAGTTGTTTAGGTTGGGTGGGGTGTGGAGGAAAGATGTGGGAGAGGGCGAGCGAGAGGGCGATGGGGAAGGGGATGCAGAGTGGCGAGGAGAGTCGGGGCGCGTTATGGGGGATTCTGGTGGCGTTTGTTCTTTTGCCCAATATTTCGATATTGTTGCCTGTTGTCTCTTTCTACCTCTACCCCCAAACTTTCTATCCTCCTCTACCTCATCGTCATCCTCTTGTCTTTTTCTTTTTCCTGCCTCATCTACCTCACGCTCCTGTCTTCCATTGGCTCTAGGTACTTGGCCTCGCTTTTCTCTTTCTCGTACCTCCAGACTTTCCCGGTTCAAATCGCATAATTTCTCTTCTCCCTTCAGTATCTTAGACCCTAATTCGACGCATGCTCTTAATTGCGTCTTGCTCATGTTTTTATAACCTGGACTTTTCAATCGGCTCGTCCATGGAGCCTCTCCTTCTCCAACAACATTATCCATGATGATGCGAGCGAAACAATGGTCGATGTGGACTGGCCATGTGTGCTGTGGAAGGAGATGTGTGTTAGCTTTCTGCATATTCAATATGGTAAGAAGATCTCGTGTAAAGGTACAATTCCGACAACAATTTTCGTAGAGGAACAATTCTATGCGAATGGGATGGTATCATGAACAGATCGAGAGGAGTAATCAAATAGCATACTTGAATCTTGTTTTCCGTCGCATCAGCTTTCGCAGCAGCAGGAAGAAGTACTTGATACATTTTTTTCCATGACTGTTGAAGAGCCTCTATAGATTCAGGTTGCGCCGCCATCTCTATGTTGAATTGTGTGTTAAATTGTGTGTTGTAAGATGAAGATGTATATTTTGAAGGGAGATGAATTGGAGAACGCGACTTGCGATTACGATATTCACGAAATCATGCTCTCCTTATCGTGGCCTAGCGACTCCCCATATTGCCTGCCAACACCCCACTACCCCACCAAACGCTTCATCGATCCGAACTTCTACTGCACCGGTAGCTCGGTATAAAATCGTGTCCATCCATCCATCCATCCAACCCTATATGATAACGACTCTTTCTCCATAAACATCAAATCACATATTACATCAAACATTTAAATCTCATCTCTCATCTCATCGTTCAATGAAAGAGGTAATTGTAACCTTGAATTCATTACCTAGGTAGTATTCATCCTTCTCGCTGATCCACGATTGATAAAGCGAAGCAACGTAATTGAGATTAGAGTAGTGTCGACATTATGCTATTTGGGTCTCTGAAAAAACTCTAGCCAACAGTAATATTCCTCGCTATACAATCAGTTCCTTTAGGCCTTGATCTATCCATGCCCATGCCCATGCCCATATGATATTCGCAGCGATTTAATATCATCTAGTCCAGCCCAACTCCATATGATATCTACCTGCCTTCCCCTCTCTCACAAAATCTTACTCATAAATCCTCATCATCGTCTTCATCCGAATCACCCACTTCCTTCCACTTCCCACCCATCGTTGGTGGCGGCCTCATGATCTCTCTATCCATCAAACTATCCTGCTCCCTCATTATCTGACTCCTGGAAATCAATTGCGATGATTGAATTAAAGAGTATGGCTGAGGTGTTGAAGATGGTACTTGTTCTTTATCTACGATCACATCATCCTTTGAATCGTGATTAATTTGGTTCCTTTCATTCTCATTGTTCTCTTCGCCTTCATTCTCATCATCACTTTGGCTCTCAATCTCAATAACTCTTCTCTCCCCTCTCCTTGAGATCGCGGGAGGCAACGTCTGCACAGGGCTACTCCCATGTGACGAAGAAGGAATAGACTTTGTCGGCGACTCCAGAATTAAATCTGGAATAGAGGATTCCCTGCGAAGCCGACGCGGGGTAACGGGTGTCTCTGTCTGTGTATAATCCACAGTTGAAGCTTGCGACGGCCTTACAAAATGGTTTTGTGAAGATAATACGTGGATTGCAGAAGCTGGTGTGGCGGCAGGTGGTGAAGATGGAGGTGCCCGTGCTTGTGTGAATTGCTGGATATTGTGAGTGATTTGATCTCGTACTTCTTGGGATTCCGTGCTCGTGCTTGATGTTCTGTGGAGTATGGACATGGCGTGTACATCTTCAGAAGACTCTGTCGCTGAAGAAGACAGAGATGATGATGACTGTGTGAATAGGGGCGGTAGTAGGTTTGCGATTAATTCTCCTAGAACTGCAGGTGGTACTCTTGCATATTTTTGGGGTGCCGCTCTGAACCATTGTCGACTTTTTAGTTCTTCGAAAGTCATTGGATTTGCGAGCGCATATAACTCTAGTATCTCATATCCAAACTTAGAACGAGTTTCACCTGTGTTGAACTCGAGATTGCCAAGGCCATCAAAGTTCGTTATCTCCCCAGGCTTTTTTGGAGGGCCAATGACGGCCATGTGAGTAAGTGTCGATAGAGGCTTGGTTTGGTATATCCAGATACGAGATACTGTGGCCGGGAAATTATAAGATCGAAATTCGTAGTTCTTCTTGCGAGTGATGATGTTTTCTACGTGGGTAGGATATATGGAGATGAATACATCGGAAGCTTCTGATCGAGGTGCCATAGCGTCAAGGTGTTGGGTGGAGAGTCGTTGACTTTCGGGATATTGACTTTTACCAAGTTGGGTATGAGCTTGGGTACGCTGAGTATGAGTACGCTGAGTCTGGGTATGCTGAGTCTGGGTCTGAATCTGGGTATACTGAGTCTGATTATGCTGGGTAGCGATATATTGACTTTGTGAACATTGACTTCTGCCATAAGATCTATTTTTGGGGGCGTCTTCATTCAATGGAGAACTTTCTTTGTGATTACTCAAACTTGATGAAGACATTATTTGTTCAGCGTGAAATTGTGTTTCCGCTCCTATGTCTCCATAAAATGTTTCTGGTAGTTCTAGTTCTTTTTCGGCATCGACTTCTGTTTGTCCCGTGTCCATCTCCGAGCGTGCATCGTCCTGTTCTGGCTCCTCAACTATGTTCTCCATTGAATCTCCTGCATTCGTACGAGTTTCGTAGTCAGAGTTACTTTCAATGGGTGTATCTGTCACAACTTGTGATTCCTCATCTTCTTCGTCCTCTTCCGCATCCGAATCTAGAATCTCGAACCTAATGTTATTGGGTGCCGGTGTCCCTAGTCGACGTGTGGGTGATGGCGAAAGGCTGCGTTGTGTGGCAGGTTTTTGTTTTATAGGAGTCTCCTCTGCCAGTACTTCCGGACTGAGATCGGGGAAAGCAAACCGTACAGTTTTCGCCGGACTTGAACGCTTTGAGGGAGTTCGAATCACTTGACTTTCGTCTGTCCCTGTCTCATAAGTGTCCACAACCTTTAGTCTCGGTAGCTTTTCAGCGCTCTTATAAATATTTGATCGTAGTGAGAAAGGAACTGCAATATTTGTCGATTGCTCTTTTAGTGGCGACCGCTTCCGTGCGGAACCTCCAAACTGACTTGATGTTGGTGTGGCGGGTGATTGTGATGATGGAATCTCTAGGATATTCCTGCGGCTTGGTGTTTGAGGTGGGGGTAACAGTTTGACTGGAGCAGTAACATTAGGCTGAAGAAACTTTCTGGGACTCCGTCGAGGTGGATGGACTGCTGGAGGGCTGGATACAGGAATATCATAACTCGAACCATCATCTTCTGGTTCATCAGGTTCATCTTGTGCTCCAGAAAGTGGCCAATAATCAAGCTGTGTAATCGTCTGCGTCGAGAAACTAGTCATCCTTCCCCCTTCATCAGTTGTTTTCCTTCTATTCTTTAACTCTTTCTTTTTCTTCGCTGTTGGTTCATCATCCATAGTCCTCCTTCGTTTCGTTCTTCGTTTCGATTCTTCTTCCTCAAAACCCTCCTCACTATCTTCAATATCATCCCCAATTTCGTCTTCCTGTTCTTTTTCATGCAATTTCACCCAATCCATTTGCGTAAGTGTATCCTGTTTCTCGAGTTTGATTTTCTTGCCATAATTCCTGGTTACACGTATTCTTTTCTCTGGAAATGTCGTTTGATGTAATGGTTCGACTGCTTTATAGATTCGATTTACAGGCGCACTACCTTTTGGTTTTGACTTTTGTTTTGGAGGCATCTTTACTCAATTTTGAATTGATTTGATAAAGTTGTTTGTATATTGGTGAATTGTGCTATATACTTAGGAGGCAATCAATCGTTGCCTCAACGCGTCAAAGCTTGTTCGTTATCTGTTATCGGGCGCGTCGGCAACAACGCGAATCCTGCTTATTAAGCATTACCGTAGTTAGATTATTAAGCATCCATGTACGCGAGTACAAATAGCAGGCGAGTCAGACAACCCCTCTCTTTCCCATGTGAATATCATTACTGTATGTGAAAATAGCCAATTATTGAGCCTCATATACTCGAGTACTTACTAGGTATATGTTTCATTACGATCTCATATTGACAAGATCAAAAGCATTGATCCAATGATCTATCACCTCGGAAGCATCTCGGAGATGTATGTGTGAGCTATCAACATCAAATTTAAGACAGGTTGTGCAACAAACAGTGACATTCTCATACATCCACATCAGCCAGCTCGTTTTTCCAGGCAATCGTCACAAGTGACATTCACTGACGCTCAGAGAGGATCGTGGTTTTCAAACGATGGTGTTGCCAACGCATGTATACCGCCAACGACACTTCTGAATAGGATATCCCCCTATCGATATCCACCATGATTGCGGAGATGTCTCCGTGATAACAATGCGTTACTCACACACCTTACTGTTATCGGTGTTGCTTCACCGTAGTAATCAGGAAAACACAAGGCGGACGAGAAAGTGCTGGGTAATAGAGAAGATTTCTTTGACTTCCGCATCAAGTTATAGTTCAGATCATTTGTCGAGCACAGTGTATGATGAAGTATCTCTCGCAAGTGCCGAAGGTCTTCTCACACCTTACGAGTCAAATGGTTTCTCGGAGCTGAATTGAAGCCTCAAGAATGAACCATTATACCACCTAGTTCCTTCCGATCCTCGATCATGTGTCACTATGGTGCAGGATCTCATGAACCCCCACGATGATTTATCACATTCTTCCGGCTTTACCCAAAAACTCAAGACCCCTCTTGACTCTGTTCAAAATATATACGGCTTGTGCATTATTTCACGGTATGCATATACGCGTACATACTCTTGTTTTTCGCAGACCCACACGCATGACCTGCCTCTCTGAACCAATGCCAGATGAACATTAAGGCGGATTGGGCTCCGAAAACTCTGTTAATTATGTTGATTTGGTTGATATATGCGATAATCGTAAGACCTATCCCTTGACCAATATACACATTCTTGTTGTCCGTCGCAAGCCGAGACACATGACCCTCATATTTGAACCAAGACCAGATAAACAACGGGCTCTACATTCGTTTCATAAGTCAAATTTAGAGAGAAATGCAACAAACGTTGCTGATATACACTCTTGTCCGTCATATGCCGAGATATAGGAGCCCACTCTCCGAGCCAATGCCGACCAATGCCAGATGAACAGTGGCCGTTGAAATCCATGTGTTGGTTTAAATAAAGTCTGCAACAGATGCAACACTTGTTTGCGAATACCCAGCTTTGTCCCCAACTTGGGCCGGGCCACATGATACTTCTGTTCGAGCCAATGCCAGCTAGATACTAATGCAAGCCTGTACTCACAAAAACTGTGCTACCTGTGTTGGTTTGACTGAGATTTGCAACAAAACATGCAGCTGGTGAGGATACCCTGCTCCACTGGCCATGGCTAATGAAAGGGGGGTGCGGTCAGGCACACATACACGCTTCCCGAACCACACCAGTGGATGCCAGTACCACCCACCTACTTGGTTTGGTGTAGCTGTGTTACTTATGCTGGTTTCTCTCAGATATGCAACAAACGCTGCTGGTTTAACCATCACGCCAAGGGGCGTCAAGGGGGGATGTATCTCGGCGGTTTATTGAGCCAATGCTAGTCTCATATGATGATCACAATGGACATTAGTGTATCCAGTCTGATGTTGTATCACCTGTGGTTCTTAAACTCAGACGTGCAACAAAATATGCTCAGATACTACACAAGCCCAGGGCACAAACCTCGGGCACATGTGGTGAGATGCGGTCAGCATTTAGCAAAGGTGGTGGAAGGAGACACTAGCTTCATGGTGTACGTATCATAAAGATCCGTATCGTCGAATCTGTACTTTGTACTACTCCTGTTGGACTGAGACGTGCAACAAACGATATCATTGATTTACACAGCTAGGGGCTGCATCTGTACAACTATTGTCTGTAGGACTAAGACGTGCAACAAAAGAGATCAATTGTTTACCCAAGTCCATGGTAATGGAAAGGGCGGAGGTCAGCCTATCTGGCGGTGTGAGAAGACACTAAATCCATTTCTGGAGATTGGACTCGGATTTACTCACACTAAACCGGCATCATTCGGATGATTGATACAAATAATTGAAGCAACTTTGCTACTATTATCACACTACCCAAGTGTTACCTAATGGGCATGGTATCACAAATCGTCACAGTAAATCTAAGTTTTTATAATTTTTAATTTCATTGGCTCCTATGTACAGCCGAACACACTACCGGTGTCTGAATATTGAAGAGAAGACTCCTCTGAAAACCCGTTGACCCCATGCCACACGCCGATGACCATTCCATTTGGTTTCCCATAATAACTAACCAACTCACTTGCTAGTATCAACCACATATCGACCAGCAATCTTGCCCTCTTGCATCAGATCATAGACCTTCTGCAACTCGCTCAGACCAACTGTCTTAAACGGAGACTTAATAAGACCACGTCTGTAAAACTCTATAGCCTCAGCAGAATCCTGGCGGTTACCAACATATGATCCCTTGATAGTAATCATCTTGATAACGGACTCGAAAACAGGCGCACGAAGATAAGCACCAGCTGGAAGGCCAATAGCGACGACAGTACCGCGGGGTCGAACATATTCTGCAGCTTGTTGAAATGGCTTCTCATTTGCAGCAACCAAGATAACAGCGTGTGGTCCGAGTCCGTCGCGTGTGCAGGCTTTAACATCATTGACCAAGTTCTTGCTCGACATAAAGTCAACATAATGCTGCGCACCCAATTCCTCGGTCATCGCCCGCTTCTCGGCTCCTCCATCAATGGCAATGATATCCAGACCCATGGCTTTGGCATACTGGCAAGCAAGCGATCCCAATCCACCTCCGGCACCAACAACCGCGACAGTTTGACCAGGTCGTATGCCGGATTCTTTAAGTCCTTTGTAGACGGTGATGCCGGCGCAGAGAACGGGGGCAATGGCTTCGAGATCGCATTCTTTGGGGATTCGCGCAATGTGTGCGGCTTTGGCAATGCAGTATTCTTGGAATGTTCCATCGACTGTGTAACCCGAGAGTAAGGCTTTTGGGCAGAGTGGTTCGTCGGCTTGTTGACAGAAATCACATGCGAGACAACTTCCATTAAGCCACTATTTCATGTGAATTAGCACCGGGGATTTTGGGGGTGGAGGAAGAGGTTTCCCTTACCTTTACACCGGCATGATCGCCAATCTTAACATCTTGAACAAGACTACCAACAGCAACGACAATTCCGGCACCTTCGTGGCCTCCGACAAGAGGGAGTTTGGTGGCTAAAGGCCAATCGCCATTGATGGCGTGTAAATCGGTGTGGCAAACGCCGGAAAACTTAATGTTTACGAGAACCTCATCGGGTCCTGGCTTTTGAACGGGAATTCTCTTGTAGACGACGGCTGAGGGTTTTTATTAGTATTGGGGTGGGGGTATGGTGGGAATTGGTTGACTTACGTTTGCCGGTTTCTTCGACAACTTGTGCCCATTGCTCTGTGGGAAGATTCTCCATTTTTGATATTTGTGCTTTGTGTGGGGAAGGTATGTAGGTGGTTATGATAGATAGTTGTTGAGGATAGAGGTACGAGAGATATGATTGTATTGAGATTGGATAATGAATACCTATGGAAAGAATGGAAATGATTCAATATATAGCCGTCGAAAACACAAATGACTGAAGCTATCCAACCCCTCCATGAAAGTGACCCCACTTGCCAGATGTTTCGTCGGTCCTCATCTACGGGTCACGCATGCCAATAGCTGGCGTTTCCGCAACTTTTCTTTGTTGATCCTTTCACGCTATTGGTTCATTCCAAGACAGAGTTTACAGGCTTACAGCTCGGATCTATAAAATACGCACTATTTGGTCTGTTCTACCCACTAAAGGGGTAGATCATGGAGGTGCTAGCTATGTGTTCGACACGTTCGAGTCCGGATTAGAGACGGCGGACATATGGGAGGAGACCGCCGAGTAGCTAGAAGCTTGCATATGCGAAAGGGATAGGCGTGGTAGAGTCATTGAGTGGAATGCTCCGCCCCCCACAGACTGGAGTAGTAGAAATTTAAAAGAGGTGCTCGGATTGTGCTAGGATGGGATGGCGTGGTTTTGATCTCCATTTCGTGGGGAAAGCGCGATGTCATTTAGCATAAAACTCCCCTGTTCGCATCATTCAAGATATTTTGGTATGGGTAGTACTTCATCCGATAGAGGTTACCATGAGTTTGGACTCTGGAGCACGTTTCGACGTGTGGAAGCTTTCCGTTCTCTTTCCGAAGCAAGATTTGAGGTTCTCCACATGAATGCGGGGAAAGGTGTTGGGACATTCAACCACGTATTTAGCTTGGAGCTTATCCCGTCTCACAACAAGGGGAATGCGGGGTTCCGTCCAGCTAAGAGCTCTAGTGATTTTCCAACACATGTGGTCCTATGGACATCAGGAACAAGATCTGTACAAGAGATATTTTTTCTGACGGTTTATGAACTTTGTGAAAATTCTTTTTCATTTACAGTAAGGTTATTCGGCCGGTCGCATTATTCACGCCACCATTCTCATGATGTTAATAGTCGACTCAATGTGATAATTTCATGTGATACGACGTGCCAAAGTGGGCTGTTCTTCGGGTGGTCTGATTTCTCGTGTTGATTGGGCTAAATGAGGGCACGAAGGCTTTCGGTTTTTGGGATGCATGACTCAAACCCTAAACCGCAGCTGGACTAGCCTCGTAAAGTATGGGGGTTTGGGGTAATCGTTTTGTTTTGCGTCGTCGACTATCTATTTCGATAGGTATCCAATCGTACATCTTCTGTACATCTTCATATTCCAGGCACTTTGATTGAGGCTACTAGCCAATCACCAACTGCCTTAATGGTTCGCTACACTCTTTGATGTTTTCGCAGATGTCATATGATATGAAAAAGGTCAAGCAACGAAATGGTGGAAGCTCGTGAGCGCGTTGACGTTACTATTGAGAGCTTCAAGCGTGTTCAGCAACATAATTACCAGAGACCCCCCACCTAGCTACTCGAGTACCGGTAGTTGGAGATACAGTATTCATAGATCTTGGGAACACGAGAGAATATAGCTACCAAATCAACAAATCAACACCCAACAACCATCTTCCTGGTTTGCAAACCGGCCCAAAGGGAGAAGACAAGTCCTACCCAGTGTGTTTCATGGCAAGAGCCTTCCGTGATATCTGCTAACAGATTGGGGAATTGAGCTTCGTACTAATACAACTAGCAGTGTTGACCGAGTCAACGATCACCTTTACGGAAACAGTCATACAATACATATTTGGACGCAACGAAGCCAACCCTCCAACTATGTTTTGAGATAGGGGTGTTCCTTAATATACAAAAACTAGATGAAAGACATCCATATGCAAAGATCGAAGTCTCTCGCAAATAGGAGCACCAAAATAGGCAAACCGTTCGAGACCGTTTGAAAATCCCACCAGAACAAACTCAGATGGCCCATTGATGAGGTGGACCAATTGCTTTGCCACAAAACTTAAAGCTTGCAACTGCTTTGGCGTCGCCCACATACTACTGTTGATGAGAACAACGAGATTCAAGTAGTATGAAGGTAAGATAGTCGAAACTCAATTCCAACCTTCAAAGTATTTATCTCATTGTACCCTCCTCGTTTCATCAAAAATTGAAGGAACAAGAGGTAGAGAGGTGGCTGTAGATACCACAAGTTCTATACCATTTCCAAACATATCGCAGAGCACTAGCTCCTGATCAATTTGACGCGGTCTCCTCATACGGTGAGAACATAGCAAGTACCCAGATAACATGATTCTCATTAAAATTTCTGCTAAGTGAGTAGCCTCCTGATATAAGAGTACATCACTTCAATATCAACGTCCGCACTCGCAGTATCGTTCGTCTCTGCCCATGAGAAATTAATATGTAGTATGACGGCGGAACTGTAATTGACAAACGAAATCACATTCCGATTTCATTCCTCAGGTCATAGTCCTAGAGGAAAAAATGGACCAGCAGTCTTCTTTTTCACTTCAGATTCGCCTTTCCTGAGGCTGGTGGTTTTATATCATCGTGAATAGTACTTATTGTGGGTGTGGTTCATCTATTTGAATTCTTGGAGGAAAATTCTTTGCTTGATTTTGATTTTAGTGGCGGAGAAGAAGATGAGGAGAGGATATCGAATCTAAGTGGGAACATTAGTGAAGGCTGATATTGTTATGGAAGTTTTGCTCTGGAAGTTTTGCCGTAGAGGACTTACTGAGACGTACTCGAATACTCGATTGGCAGCCGACGTATATCAAACTCCCTGTATCTGTCTTTTTCAAGACTATGCAGTTCATACACAGCAAAACAACTCTTTCCCACTTATCTTGTTCCCTTTCTCTCAACCCGAAGTTCTTGCAGTCAAGAAAAGAAGTCCAAGTATGGCGCAGAGGTGTGGATTTGAGATTCGATTCTTTTCATCATCATAACTGGATGATTGATCCATTTCATGAACTGTTCTTTTCGCTCGCCCTCAGCTCACTTTGTATGGATGAATATGGTGGGTGATTATGAAGGAATATCATGTTCCTATTTCGATTCATTTTGGTGCATTTGTCTCTTTTCTAGTTCATCCTCTTACATGTGAGATAGGCTGAGGACGATATGGCAAAAACATGCTTGACTTCTATAGAAAAGCCCATATATAGCCTATGTAAGCCATCATTTAAAGCTCATAACGTTGTTACGGAAGATCAGAATCTTGAGATGGAGATGTTTTGCCAATGTTGGAGGCGCGCATTTCCAGAATCTTATTGAAATATGACACGAGCTTTTCGAGGACGGTTTCTTGTCTTCTCCGTTACACACCGAGGGTGTATGGTATAATGGAAAGGAAAGATGAGAGAACGTGCAGATAGATTGGATCGGGAAAGCTATCTGATTGTTCTCCGATACTATTTATACTTCATACGATAGAATGAGATTCGTGGGATGCGATTTTACTTGGCTGTGTATCAAGGAGTCACAAGGTCGATAATGTTGAGCAGTTTATTGAAGATTGGTAAGAGTGTTGGAAAGTCCCATATCCAAGGAGGGATTCGACCTTGTAGTTCTCTTCTTGTGTAGATGGCGTTGTACGGTTGTACTTGCTGCCGACTATCAGTATTCGGTAATGTTTCAAATGGGAAGAAAGAATCTGAGTGGATTGGATATTTAAACCCCAGCACTCTTGGAAACTAGACGGATAATCATGAGTGTAGCGAACAACTGAAAACTGTCAATTTTTGAGAGCAGAAGAATGTGCCGGATTCGAATAAATAGTTAGAGCCTCCCGATATTAGAGAGCAGAAGAAGCAATGTGAGTGTTTTGGATAATCAAAACCTATCAATACCGGAGAACAGAAAACGAACATAATTCGAGTGGATAATTAAACCTTCTGACTGTCCCAAATCAGTTGTCCGTTACAATCATCGACGTATAATGCAGCACAGGTGTTATGAATACTGGTCATAACCTGATTGCTTCGAGTTAGTATACACAACAGCCTGCAAGACAAAAGAACATGAGCCATGGCCGAAAGTCACTGATTGTTCTGGTGCATCGCCTGCATCAGAGGAATATCCATGAGAACGAGGAGACGAGCTGAAATTTTGCTATATTAGCAGGGACAATAAAAACGCACCGCAAGAGCTTTCAAAGCTTCCATTCATAATTCAAAGTACAACCCCCCAGTATTAAATCCTTTCCCATGATGACCTGGCTCAAGTGCCCAGCACGCAGCACTCAGCCCCAGCTCCAACACCCAAATCGTTGAATTATGATTATAGGTACCAGCCATCCTGATACAACTCTTGCCTAACTTGTTCCTCTGCGACTGCAAACCCTTGGAGAGGTCCTTCGTATACGGTGAACTCTGAATGGTTCCAATAACACTTCCCTCCTTCAATAACGTATATCTCCATGGCTCGTTGCAGAGTGATATGTTTGCTGGGGTCCTTAGAGAAGACTTTGCGTCCAAACATATCGCGTTCTGTCCCCCGCTTTACCATCCAAGAGATCTTGTAAGGATATGACTCGCTGGTAGCCATTACTTCCACTGATTGACATCCAACGCAAGACTCTGAGTGGGTCCATTGCAACCAGCCCTTTAAATCCAACTTGTTTAGATTCATGATTCCATAAGCATGATAGTGACGCAAGATATAAAAGAAGCATCTCCAACTGTTGCAACCGCGAAGAATTGGTTTGTAGAGGGTAATGGCCTTGAGAGTACGACCGTTAATGCGAAAGATGTTGGTGAGATCTTTGGGATATACGAATAAGTAATCAAGCCGAAGGTTTGTCAGCTTCTCCCACGGACGATTGCCTATATATGCTCTCTCTGGAAAAGACAACCGATGCTCGAATGCCATCCTCGTCTTGGTAATGTCGGTGGAGCGAAGGCCAATGGTTTTGTATGTAAAGCTTTTGGCATATTTACGGCAAGTCGAGTCGATAGAGTTTAAAACGGGACCGTAGCGGCCGTACTCTCCGTGAGGGAACTCAAAGATAAGTACAGATTCGATCAAGTAGCGCAAAGCAATATCGGACATCCTCTTGTTGGTAAGGCGGACACTCTTGAGTGTATTCACATCGCATAATTGGTAAATAAGACACCAAATCTCATCTGGACACTCAGAAAGAACGAGAGTTGGAGTAACTGTAACAGCGTCGCCGACTACTTGAGATCCGCAGTGGTTAGTACGGAGCTCGGCTTCTTAAACATGAAAGATACTCATACCTTCAAAGCTCCTATGAGAAGTCCTCAAAATCATTGCTTCAGCTACCAGTTGGTCTTCCTTGAATCGATGCTGCGCTCCCTCATCACCAAGGTTAATTGTAGCCATTTTGTATTTATGCTCAGAAGACTTAAAATGGTTTTGGTATTTGGTATTATTGGTATGCAACAAAGCTGGAAGCTTCGTCAGTATTTAGTATAGTAATATTCCATTCTTGATACAGGTAATGCGACAATGGCTACCTGGTCAGGATTAAGACAGAAATATGCAAAATAAATACATACCTATAAGGTTATGTAGTGATGGGCATAAAGGAACCCACCAGGCCAAATACTGCGTTGATTGTGGGATGGTTGCTGGGTGGGAGGTTTCAAACATGAAGCAGAGAATACCACCAATCAAATAAACATTGCCGTGCAGAATGGTCCAATAATAGAGAGGGGAGGTGTCCTCATAATATCAGCCGATCCAGTGAATATCTGGAGTTTCCCTTGCTGTTTCTAGTTTCTCACACAAATCTCAAAGTTGCCGAATCGAATATTATTGCTACTAAACCTGTCAGTTTGCCTGTTGTCATTCTCCCTTTACTCTTGCAAATCCAATATTTCCCTGTTATACTGAGTATATAGATTTGACTACGAGTATCAACAGAAGACATAAGTTATTGTCATAATCTATTCTGGTGAGTTGATAATCTCATACTAACCTTTCAAAAGACTCCAGGAATCTGGTTTTGAATGGGACCTCGATAGACCGAAGCCCCTATGGTTGTAAATTACAAGACAACCATACCCATAATGGTATGCTGGCAATCTGATCAAAGAGATCCATCACATCAGTACCACATCTGTTTATCTCTTCAAATATATGGTTGCTGTTGTCTTCCGCATAACATCTGATATATCCATGATCCTCACCATGGCCAACACTGCAGGCAGGAAGAATCCAAGCAGTTTTGATTCTTTGATCTTTCATATTAAGACTAACTGTTCTTTGACCCCAATTTATGAGTAAAATGGCTAACTTAATCTCATCCAACAGAAAATTTCACTGAATCAAGTACCATCAAGTCAGAATCGATTCCACACAGCTTCCACCAGCTGTGCTAAGTTCAGGAATAGCTAATACGCCAGTCCCTTCACAAGCCTTGGATGCCGAGGCAAGATTATTCCTGGAAATGGCCTCAAGCAATTTATTCAATTCCACGCTATTGTGTTTGTGAGCACAACCCTGAGTTAAAATGTGGCAGCTTCAATGCTCAAGTGCCTTCACTCAGCTAACTATCAAAGCAACCTACACACAAACCTATTCATACATACCTAGTCTTATACCTTTAAGCATATTCGACATCGATTGCAAAGCTAGTCTCTCAACTATTAAAGACCAAGCTATCAACGAATCTATCAAAACAAAACTAGTCATCAATCTCCCTTCCTGAGTAGTTGCGAGCAAATAGGCATTATTATCAAGAAATATATGCCCCGGCTCACAGGCTTACGAAGCTTAAATTGTTATTACCTCAAACTTCCAAGCATCAGCAACTTGTCTCTGCTGCCCAGGCCATTAACGCTGCGCGAGCGGGGGGATTTCAATCCTCTCACGGGAAAGGCCAGGAAACATCCTTCTCCAAGCAAAGAGAATGTTTCCTGTGTCTATACTCGGTCTATGCAGCCTCAATTGCTGCCTATAGCCATCGCGTGTAATCGGTTGACTCATACCACTCAAGCAACTTGTACCATTACTTTGCTCTCGTGTTACTGATACAACGACAGTACCTTTGGATGAAATCTCGATGAGCACGAAGTTCTAATCCAACTAAGGCTATTCCTTGATCCTCGAAAAGCGGTCATCGAGAAGAGAGACAATATGACCGATGCGCGTCATGAAGGGTAGAGGGTTCAAAGGATTTAATGAAAACTTCTACTGAATCCTCGTCACCAGGCTTTCCGGTATTCCAACGAGCTTACTGATACACTTTCGAAGACCCTGTATTAGATCGACATCACCCAGAGACAATATTATAACAAAACTTGACTTGTTCACACCTTGCGGACGTAGATTGATTGGTGCTTCCGAACTCACTCGAAGCTAACCGATGTCTTCTTCAGGGTATAAGTGGCATATAATTTTACTGCGTACAGTCCAAACTGTAACTGCACAGGTCCGTATCAAGCGGTTTAAAGGCTGTAGAAGATGAATAACCATATTGCATTACCGTTCTGCGGTGTTGTGACTGCAATGACTGAAATCTTTTCTCCTCTGCTGTTCAGCCTTCAAGGAAAGACTATCTATCATGTATCGAACATATTGATATTGGGAAAATTCGTTATCATTGAGAGTTCACAGAGAAGCCAGGAAGCAAAGTCTTGAAGTTCGGTGCAGGGTTTCACTAGTGTGTTCAACTTTCGCCATCATATGGTAGACGCAAACCTAGCTTCGTCGTATCAATCGATCGAGTGATCGATTCTTCTGACTACTTGATGATCTTCCAAATACTTACTTTCCATGCTAGTACTGTATTTTGACTTGGAATCGTCCTTAAGTCCATATTAAATTGTGACTTTTGATCCTGTGAAATGAAGAACATGGTCAATTCTTGATGGACTATCCCCTTAGGAATTTTAACGACCAATAACAAAACAACGGAACTCTATGTGCCCCACAAGACAACAGCACTCTAGGTGATAAGGCCAACTCGACTCCCTCAATCGACCGTACAAAGTATGCGAATAGTCAAGCACAGACTTGAAGAAAGAGTGCCCACATCTCACTTTCGGGTCTGTATCAATTGTTCGAGGAGTTATGATTCTGCTTCATCCGTAACAGCTGTTCCCCGTCATAATATGGAAGAAGATAGCCTTTAAAGAAGATACTGGATCATGCAGCACTTTACTGGTAGCTGAAAGGGGGATTTGGTCGATCCTGAGTTTTCTTACCAATAGATACGAAGCTCTTCGGCTACTGCCAAATCCTTCGACGTCGGTAAACGATTCTAGACGAGTGAGCTCGAAGCATGGATCTACAAACCCTTTGTTTGAATAAAAATGGATGGCTGATTTGTGAAAGATAGCCACGCATCAGTTATTAGCGTGCTATTCTGCAACCAGAGCACCTTCAGTGTTTTACCGTCAGCGCCTCGCACTTGACTTGGTTTCGTGGACCGCCTTTATCTCCCTTGGGAGCCGATTGCAGAAGTGATTGGCTTGGAAGTCCATCACTTTTCAGGATTATGAGTGTATGTCTGGATGAGATACACATCGAATCATCGAAAGTAGTAAAAGCTTACATAATAAGCTCAAGACTCTTAAAATAAACAAAGAGGCAGGAAGGCGGGCGGGAGATGTTGCAGCAAGGATTGCATTGGAAGAAGAATTCGTACAAAATATCAGATTCGTTTGCCTCCTTGTTTCTTTCAAAAGTTATGATACGGAGAATCTTCGTAGTGAAGAGAAGTCGTTAATTTCCTGATTCTGATTCATCATGCTGATAACTCCTTTGATTGACCTAGAATTTGCCGCAGACTTCTTGATGCGCTTCCACGGCCAGACCTTCATACTACCTGCCACTTCGTAGTGCCTAATCACCGGAGCTTCCCAGATAATATGATCCACAACTTCAAGGTTTGGTTTACATCGACACGAAAATAGCTGTCAAGTGAGATCAGCAACCACTTTGGTCCCGGACAAGACGCTGCGAAACGAGCGAACATCTATCTGCTCGTGGAGTCCTAGACGAAGCTATTTATCAATCATAGTGATAACCACATTTCCGCGGCAATGCGTGGCTGACTACACAGAAATTGGTAAAGGTGGCTAGGATGACCTTTGACCAGGAAACCGTGGAATGTAAACATAGTACTGTATTACTAGTGGCCCATATTTGCATATCCATCGCCCAAGAACGATACATACCCATCAATGATTGTAATCGTACGGTATGTTTGGAAAACTTTCTGGTACCGTACCGGTGTGACCCTCGTCAAACCTTGTTTCTCGCATAAACCACCCTATGTTCGATTTGATTGTGATCAACCTTACACAGCCCTTCACACTTTCTGTGCGTTGCCGACATCGAGTGAGCATCCATCCGATTTGATGATTTTAGCCCAGTAATGTCGAGCAGCTAGCATCTCTGATTGTGTTTGTGAAATGTTTAGAGGTTAAGAAGGATGCGAGTAGTTACAGATCGGCCCTCTGACTTCGTGATGAATAACATATGAATATATTCTGGACTTCCATATCTTCGGCGGACAATACACCCTTTTTAATAGTTGTATTGTTCAGGGATAATGCTAGCTTTGTATAATCTCTATATATGCGGATTTTACAAGTCAGTTAGGGGTAATCAAAGCGTGGCGGACGACTACCGTAGACCTACAGCCTGGATATGACGGAGAGATGAAGCTGGTTGATTAAGATTGACTTTTTGGGTGTCACGATCGAGGACGCCAATGACCTGTTTACTTTTACGTCGGCAACATCCAACACCACTTTTATTTCCAGAAAATTTCAATGTTGATGAATGTGAGACTTTCAAGTCAATCAATCGGCAGGTTCTTATTTCCGGCTTTATCATTACACAGTGACTGACTGACCGACCGCAGAACATAGACGAGCAAGGCAAACGTTTTGCTTAGTTCAAAGTAGCTCGATCGGACATCAATCTGGTTTTCGAACCTGCAAGAGCATGTAGACGGAGAGTCATGTGGTTGTTGAGGAAGCCGAGAAAGCTAAAGTGTTTGGATCATCGAGATTCGTGTCAAGATTTAAACTCAATGTCAAGGCTGGTCGATACCAGTAGATTGCGATCTTCATGGGACAAGTACTATTTATTGATGGCACGATGTGAAATCTGGTGGGTCATTGGGTTGTTTCACTTGTACAGTAAGTAGTATTGATAGAGATCAGATCAGACAGGGAAGACTGGGAGGCCTCGAGATAGTTAAACCCCAACCCCTAATCGAGGCAGGAAAATGGCTTTGCGAAGTAGAAATTACAGGAGGAACTGTTAACTCCGCTTATTTGTATACACTCGACAGTTTTAATGAGTCCATGCCATGTCAATAACTTAGAGTGTATATTGATGAATCCATGCTATATTCAATACAAACATTCACAACCTGTTCATCCCCCAAGTCAAAGATGGATACTCAAGCAAACCGAGTGAATGTTCTAATGGAAGACATGATGAAGCTGGAGTCGAGAAAGCATCAGATATCATTCTGCATCAAGACAAACAAATGATGTTGAGAGGACACTTGGATCCAGTCGGCAGTTACTAGAGCTACACGAATGCCAAGTGACTGTCGAATATGATAAAAACCTGGGTGTTTTCGATGAAAAGCACTTCTGTTTGTTTGTGGATCAAAGTATGGACGAAATAAACGTGACATCGTATTCCATACCATCACTGATGGTTGTTTAACGTGGCATATTGGAACCCATCTACAGCCCAACACCTGTAAATCATCAATGGACTCCCCATTCCACTCGAATTTTAAAGGTAGAGAGAAGAGAGAGAGAGAAAACACACACAAATGCAACCACGTGAATGAAGATGGGGGTTTCTTGTCCATTAGTCCATTAGCTTCTCAACCAATCGATGACCTAAAAACCCCACGTTTACGACTTCGCAACTTGGAGAAATGGATGAGGTAAATCATTAGAAATCCCAAATAACCAATCAATTTGTAGTGAGCCCTGGATCTATGGAACGTTGTGGATGATTCATACATTGTGGCGTCGAGTTATTTCTGGTAAAGCAACCTTAATACATGCGCCACCAAGTAGAAGGCCGCAAGGAGTGACAAGATGCGGAGATGGCTGGCTCGTGTCTGCGCTGATACAGATAATTTAGGTGGTACCCAACATAAGATATTTTCATTCAAAGATAATGAATGGTAAGAGAATCTTGATTTGGATATCTCGATACTACTCGAGTGTAGATTGAAGATCTCGATGTTCTACATGTTTTGATATATTGATGTTGCTTTCTTATGAATAATTGGGGTGAATAGATATCAAGGATTGACTTCAGGGGTTGTTTGTTTTTGTGATGGTCTCGACCTTTCTCTCATTCTCTCATTCTCTCATTCTGATCAATCAAAATAATGTTATAAGAGATGTTGGGGAGTGACGACATCGGCTCAATGTCCCGATTCTATGAAAGAGGGTATGACAGATGGAGCATTAGAGAGAAACAAAAGTATTGAATTAAAAGTTATATTCAATAATTAAATAATTAAATAATAAAGATATAAAAGAAAATAATAATATATGAAATATATGAAATATATCTTATTATTGTCAAGGTTCAATGTTCAAATTCAATTGTAACCTTACTCCTTACTCGATCAAATCCGGGTGTTGGAGTCATTGTTAACATTACAAAGTCAGAGTGGCTGATTTCGACTCATCTTCTTATTATTCCCTTCCCCCACTTGATAAATGGCTACTCGGCATCAATCTTCATATTCCCCGTGATATCAAAAAGATCAAACAGAAAAACAACAAGAACATTTAAGAAACATCAACAACACATAAAACATATCATCTGAAAGACTTTGCTGAGAATCACCCTCAAACCTCATATCTATTATCTAGATCGACATTCATACCGTCTTTTCAAAACATCAACTCTATAGTCTATACCTATTCGTGACAGCCCTCCGAAACCTTTTCATGCCCAGCTCATCAACATCAACTCAATCTTTAGATACCATGACATCCAATCTTCCAACATCAACAGGTCAGAAGCTCTATTTACATACTCACCGCCTTCAATTTTCCCTATCTTCCCCTTATGCATCTACCTCAAAGCCCGGTTGTAGTGCATATCATGGCTTCCTTCTAGAGTCATCTGCTCGCTTCAATTGACTGATGCGTTGGCAGATATTACAAACGAACATGATTCCGCCTCACAAGCTCTTAGAAATCATTCCCAACAGCCGCTGAAAACAAGGATTTGTCGTTATTTCATTAAATCAGGTAAATTCTAAATACTCTCTTTTATTCGGAATCAATTGTTCTCGAATATTTTCATTGGACTGCCAGAAATTGGGGAAAGAAGATTGGTATTGTCTTGTCTTGCATATGTAATGCAAAGTTGCATGTTGTGCAGTCATGGTGGAGATCCCGTGATTCACCGTATATCGGTAATGGGCTGCGGGATGTAGATGATCTTGAGATGAAGGATGAAGTAGGTTGGGAGGTGATTTGTTGTTGAACAGTGGCGTTTGTCATGAGGCGTTTGTATCACTCACGATTGGGTATACCTTGGGTTACACCACGTGATATTGGAAACACATGTGAAAGCACATGAAGGGGGAATAATGGAATAATAGAGTTGCTGATATTGGTGTTTTAGGTAATTGTCGAGCTGGTGACAGCTGTTCATTCATCCATGACCTGACGAAACATCCTAGCCGTGCTACGGCAAATATAATTGTGCCCGAGGTTTCTCAGGCTTCGACATCGGAGGCTACACAAGGAGGACAACGCTTGAATCAGAATCATTCATCACAAGCTGTCACAAATCCTGTTCCAGCGTCACGGGTAGTATCAAAGCCGGTACCACAGGCACAAACCGAGAATCCTCGAGAATTTCAGCTTGGACAGATTCGAAGGCGATTCTCTCCCAAGGAGATTCGTCCGTCTGGAAATGCCGAGGGTACTACTATACTGAGGTTTAACCTCACTCCGTCTGATCCGGATTTTCCCTTTGAAATGACTGCATTGGAGTGCTCTGTCTCGGTACCTGCCCAATATCCTACCTCGCCACCTACTTTGAGGGTGGAAAATAAAGATATCCCTAGAGGATTTTGTATCAATGTCGAAAATGGCTTTGATGATTTGGTTAAAGAGAAAGAGAATGCTACCTTATTGGATTTAATAAAATCCCTGGATAAACATTTGGAAGAATTTCTATCTGCGCAAAAAGCAGAGACAGTCAAGATTGTCATGAATAAAGACACGCGACATATTTCCCTTTCTGGTAGAGAAGAACAACCTCCGGGTACACCACCGAAGTCTGAATTTGCAATGAAAGATTCGGAACAACCTAAGGTTACTCCAAGTAAACCAACTGTAAGTTTCACAGAATCCGAAAAGTCTGAGGCGTCGAGGAAAAGAGAGGTAGAGACTAGGCAATTGGAAGCGAGAATGGGTAGATTGCCTCTTTACAAGAAGTCTAGTGACGGTATTGCTTATACCGTTCCGATTGAACCTCGGAGACGTGGAGAATTGCCACCAGCAATCAAAGCTGTCAAGGCAATTCAACTTTTTGTACCCACCATCTATCCACTCGAACCTTGTCGAATCAGATTGGAAGGAGTTGATGCTCCGGAGGCAAAGTCTGTGGAGAAGGGATTTGGGCAGAAAGCGGAGGAGGCAAAGGCTTTGAACTTGATGGGCCATATCAATTACCTTGCACAAAACATGCACATTCTAGCGAAGACTGTTTTGGAGACGGAATCAAAACCATCACCAGTTGTACAAACACCGCCACTTCTTGTTGAAGAACCCAAATATCTCAAGGGAAAGGGTTTGGTTACTGAAGAAGCCGAGGAGAAGAGTCACATTCAATATATCGCTCGACCACCTGAATGGACAATTGTCAACACCGAAGATGCTGACTACTCCGACTCCGACTCAATGTACTCTTACGACAGCGGAGACGACTTGGAGTCGGAAGATGAAGGAGTTGAAGCCGAACACGTACTTGAAAACCAAATACCAAATCCTGAACGTGGTACAGCTATATCATTTCCCTTCATCGAGCTTTATGGCATCGAGTTGTTGGAGGTTACTACTTTGAACATCACCGTCAAATGTTCTCGCTGTAGGGAAATTACCGAGATCAAAGGTCTCAAAACTGGAGTTCAAAAAACAGAAAGTTGTAGGAAGTGTGCGACGGCACTTGTGGTCTGTTACCGTCGAGATTTCGTTCACGCGAACAACGTCAGGGCTGGATTTTTGGACTTGGAAGGATGTGTAGTTGGTGATATGTTACCTAGGTAAGTCACCTTACTTTCTTTTTATGCCACAACGCTAATCTCATCCCACAAACAGTACATTCTCACCAACATGCTCTACATGTTCCACCGTTTACCCAGCTCCAGGTATCGTCTCTATCCGCGGTGAAACAATCACAAACATTTGTCGGGAATGTCATTCCAAATTCACCTTTTCAATCCCCACCATCAAGTTCCTGCAAATATCCTCTTCAGCATCCCCTCACAATATACTCCCTAGAAAAAAGAAAGAAACACTAGGTATCGTCCCGGGCACTCCTCTTCCCAAAAATGGTCTTTGTAGACATTATGGAAAAAGTTACCGCTGGTTTCGCTTTAGCTGTTGCGAAAAGGTGTATGCATGTGACAAGTGTCACGATGAAAAGGAAGCTCATGTAAATGAGTGGGCTAAGAGAATGATTTGTGGATGGTGTAGTCGGGAGGGTCTTTACCGACCAGAAGATTGTGCGGGGTGTGGAGAGCGGGTTATTAGTAGAAAAAGGGGAGGAGCGAGTTTTTGGGAGGGCGGAAAGGGGACGAGGGATAAGACAAAGATGAGTAAAAAGGATAAAAGGAAGTATAAGAGGGTTGGGGGTGGGGTGGTTAAGAAAACTTGAGGGGGAAATGATGGGGGGAGAGAGTAGGGGTAGAGATAATTGGGTACTTATTGTGATATCATATACCACATACTTATATATATCATACTATAGGTATAAGTAAAAAGTCTCTGATTCCAGACCTCAATAGACCGATAATTGAACAACCGATCTAGATTCTAGATTCTAGACCTATTAATATTCATCATAATATAATCCAATCAACCAAAAAAAAACAAAAACTTCCCAATCACCACACACGACACCATTGACACGACACCACACCAGAAGCCAAAAAGCCCAAAAAAGCCCCATTCCAAGCCCCAAAATAACTATACGATTAATTGTATCACAAACCCAATTCCCCTTCCCGTTCACAACCCCCTCTCCCTTGGCACTCACACACTTACTTACTTACTTATTTTCGATGCCGACGCGAATGCAATGCAGGAATGTATATACCCGGTTGTGTGTATATATACAATATTGATTTACCGAGTTTTGCATTTGGTGAGTGATACAATACGAGTGAATATATATCTGAGCTTTGTTGAGTTTACGAATAGATATTAATATTGATATTGTTTATTCTACTATACTCGAGTATTGAACTTGTATTGAGTAAAGTCAATAGATAGATACATTTATTGACGATGCTATTCGCTGTTTATATCTGATTGGAAAGATTTGTTCCTTGGAATTTGGAATTCTACGAGTATATGAGTACTGTAATGGAATGGAATGAAATGAAATTAATTAATTAATTAGTCTATAATTATACAATACTCGAGTATATAAACCTCTCTACTGATGATATCAATCGATTAATATAATATATATCTAACAAAATCTCTCCTCTCCGCATTCGCATTCGCATAAACCACTCTCTTCTTCTCTTTCTTCCCTCCCTCCCTTTCTTTTTCTTTTTCTTTATCCCAATATTCCTTTTTCTTACTTTTTTCTTCTCTTCCCCTCACATTCCACCTATCCATCCATCTCTTCCCCGGACCTATCATCTATTACCACCTATCACCACCTATTATCCCCACCCTCGCTCCTCACCCTCACCCTCATCCCCATCCTCATCTACGGTATATAATAGTTCTCACCCACACCAATCATTAAATTATACCGTATATTACAACACACACCATCCAGATGGGTAATACCCAAGAGAAAAAGAAACATACACAACATAAGATCTCTTCCCCTTCCCCACCATTCGGAAGCTGCATCACGCATTACACGACGTGTTTCTCGTGTTACCCACCTGGACTAGAGTAGAGTAGAATAGAGTAGATCTTGTTATTGTTTTTTTGTTTGGGATTTGGGATTTGGGATTTGTTGAATAGAATGTTTATACGAAGTGAAGTGAAGTGAAGTCATAGTGAGATATTATTAGATACTTGTATTTGCTTTTGTGATTTGTTAATATATATATATTATTTATAAATAATAGATTATATATAAAATCTTATATTTGAATACTTGAGTATACAACTATATAAATCAAATAATAAAAGATAGATATAAAATATTCAAATCCAAATCTAAATTCTATTTATTTGTCTAAAACCAAACCAAACCAAACCAGATTCTTGGAATCAATCTCGATATCAATCTGGACAAATACTATTTGCTATTATCAAGCTATAAAGCCATATATT